CTGGAGTAAAGGAATCGCAGATCTTGAGTTTGGACCACGAGATGCCCCAGCAACAAGACGAGCTGTGCCCTGTTTGCATGGATGACTTGTTGTTCTTCCACAAGAGTGCGAGCAGGGGAAACGGACGCTCCAAAGAATAGATGCCGTTTTTCAGCAGCATGGAATCAAGAAGAATGCAGCATGCATCTAAAGATGTGAGTTTGACTCCTTCCATGACAGGGCTTGGCTGTGACCTCACCAGCTCCCCTCCGTTGGTGCAGCCAGCAAGAGGCAAGCTAGCCAACACCGTTCTAGCTTTGTGTGATGTGCTCCAGCAAGGGCGCGCGAACCCTCGCGCTCTAAACTCGCTTTTGGGTGTGCTGCAGTGGTTTGGTCTCATGCAGCGCAGCATGTTCAGCGTGTTTGACGAGGTTTATGCTTTTGTGAGAAGGGCAGAGCCAAATGTGGTTCACGGGCTCCCCAGCAGTGTCAGCGGAGAGCTCCTGACAATTCTTGCCCTGTCACCTCTATTTCCAGCTGGCCTCGACAGGCCTTTCTTAGACGAGTTGCTGGCATGCGATGCTGCCCCAGAATTTGGGTTTGGCGCCTTGCAGAGCGGCGTGGTGACTATGTCCGGTTGGTTCCTGACCCTGCGACGCCTGAAGTGCCGCGCGTTGGAAACGAGCACCGCTTACCTATCAGCAAGTGCAGCTTCAGGACACTGATGTCTTGTAAGGCCAAGCGACAAGCGCATTCTGGATTGCTTGAATGCCACGGTGTTCTGCTGGAATTGAAATGGGTGAGTAGAAGTGCCAAGCGTCACCATCACCGAGCAGTGGTGCTGTTGGACGCCAAGGTGGCAATAGGGTGCATGAGTAAGGGCAGAAGTTCAGCAAGAGCGCTGAGAAGAGTGTTGCGAAGCACGGCTGCCTTAACCTTGGCTTGTGACCTTCTTCCTCGGCTGTGTATATATATATATATATTCCTTCTGAATCAAACCCAGCGGATGCTCCTTCACGTGGACATAGTGTGGCAAAAAGAGCTAAAAGAAGAGCGCCTGGTGCGCGGCAACAATAGTCTTGGTTTCTTTCCAACTGGCCACTGACGCCTCCTTTCACGGAACCGGGCTCAGCGCAAGCAGGTCTCCAGCCCCGATGGATGCCTGTCGTTGACAAACTTTTTGGGCAGAGTTTGGAGCTGTTCCGTGCGAGGGGAGCTGTGCCCTCTCGTCTTTCTGTATTTGTGCGTCACCTTCCTGAGGCACGCCTGAGAGTGCCACCTTGCAAGTTTTGTTTGGATATGCGGTCAAAGACGGCCACGAACTGAGATTCGCTGCCAGCGCGGGGGCGTGGGTGATTGGCAACAGTTCTGCTGTCAGAACCTCTTGACTTCCATCTTCACCTTTGCCTAAGTCCATCGGATCTCTAACCAGCAGTGGCTTTGAGTTGGAAAATAAGGGCTTCTGAAGACTGCAATGACCGGAGGCAAGGGACAGTGAGCGAAGCAGCAACAATAATTAGTGTTGACAACGGCGGCGGTGGAAGTTCCATTCAAGTTTACGCACTTGCACGTATTTTTTGTTGCTTTAAATGTTTCATGTATAATATTGTACAGTATATGAAATCAGCATAAATCAGCCATGTTTCGGTACAATCTTTGGGTCCATGTCGCCGTTTCTCCCTAAAAGCTCCTTTCAAAACTTGCAGTCTCCCAATAGCTGCCAATAGTCTCACTGGAGTTTTGGATGGTCCCCCAAACGGATCCTTAATGGATCAATGATTCCCTGTGGTGATTCCAACTGGTCTTGATCATGTGTTCCCAAACAGGAGTGCACCAAGAAGAAAAGCCGAGAAACCAAGCAGCTTGACACTCAAGATGGTGCATGACCCCCCCCAAAAGAAGGAACCGGTGTCAATCCTCCCTCCGGCCGCACCGGTCCGTCCAGGCACTCGGGTCCGTCGCCTTCCTTCGAGCTCGCTGGCGTTGGGCATCAGCGGCTCGCCAGCTCCTAGCGGTTGACCGGTGGAGCGAGCGCCTCACTCACGAGGCGCTCGCGAACCGCCGGCGGTTCGCGCGTTGGAACCAGCGCCGATGAAGGCCTCCTTTCCACCGAGGACCGCGGGCGTGGGACGTGGAGGTGATCCACGTCCAATCACGTGGGCATGGGGCTTGGCCGGGCATGTGGTGGGAGGCACTGAGAGCATGGAGACACAGAGCGGACGAGTCTCCGAAATGTGGAGAAGCTCTTGATCTGTGACAGTGGTACTGAACCCCGTAGACTGAACCGTTGCGAAACATATCGAAAACCCCTGAACATTCATGTTCCGAAAGAGCTGTGGGATGTTCTCCCATCGAGAAATCCCATCGCAGTGAGAACCTCATCTGGAGTAGTCACATTGCAAATCACCACTACCCAGGGTCGTCTCCAGTACGCATCACTGCAGATACAATCCTGCAACCCGAAACAACTGCATTTTTTGGTCGTTTCAAAAAATACGGTTGGTCGTTTCCAAAAATACGGTCGTTTTATCTTGCAGTTATATTAAAAATATGGTCGGATAAGTATACGTGTTTATACGTTTTTATACAGTTTGCATACGGTTTGCATACGGTCGTGGTTCAATAAAGATATACGGTCGTTTCCAGAAATATACGGTCGTAAACGATTTCAAAAATCAACTGCTTGATATGCATTGTGCATGATGTAATATTTGAACACCATCATAACTTGACAAAAATACGGTCGTTTAAGAAAAGACCCTTTTTTCATGGTCGTTTTAAAACATATATATATATATGGTCGTTTGAAGAAACAACCAACAACAAAAGCAGTCGTTTCAGGTGGCAGGATATCGTGAGTCTTCGCCACGTCTTCGCACCCGTCGCGTCAGACACGTCCGAGCTCGCACGACTCCGCAGATGTCTGCGTTCGTACACCGCAGCCCCAAAGACATATAAGGGTGTTTGGGGCTCTCAAGTACGTAGTACACCTTCTGTACAGCCGCGGTGTTAAGCTATCAACTAAGGGGGCTCTCTTGAAAGGGCAGAAAAGACGGCTCACTTGGTGTGTGCTGACGACCGGTATCAGCCCCAAAGAGTGGATCACCCTTTTCAACAATCCCATACGCCCAGGGTATGTATAGTAGTGCTTCACAACCTGCTCTTGGAAGCGTGAGTTGAAGTGCTATTTCTTGGCTGTCCAGACCTCGACTTTTCACGGGGTTTCTGAACATGTCTTCTCTTTAAAGATCCAGGAGGAACCTTTCCAAACGAGCAAGACCAACATGACTCCTTTCCCACGGTATCTGCGCTGATCGTCCACGGAGCTGGTCTCCTGTCTCCAGCTGCTGGAGGGGTTGATATGCACAGCAAGCAGTCCTGGGCGTCCAGCAGTTTCTGGGCATCCACCCGTCGGCACGTACCCGATCGGATGCCCCTCAGATTCGGATGCCGCGGACGTGAGAAGGACACTTCTCACCCAGGTGATACGTTGCCGAACTCGTGTTTCCTTTAAACTTCCATATCAGATCTATAGGTTGGACGGGAGCTTAGCCTTGATTTATTAACCACTAGATACTTATAGAAGGGTTTGTTGAGGCAAGCCTCGACTAAGACTTGGGTGACACTTGGCTTTGCCTCATTAAAGAAGCCCTCATGAGTGAACTCCAAGCGAAGCCCATGCTAAGTTGACCTTCAAATCCCTGTCTTGGGTTCTCTTTGGTTCAAATGGGTTTCAGATTTCAACTTTGCTAACCAATCTTTAAACTGTGCCCTCCAAAGGGGAGAGCGCAGCGGTGCCTCGGCATGATGAAGGCATTTTGCGCCACCAAATGGTATCGGTATACTGATGAATGAATGACAACGTCTATTTGCAGAATGGTTTTACTTTTGCAGGCCCCCCAGGGGGATTGATACATCAAGAGTCTACATCAACGTTTTTTTCGGTTCGTTTCTATCATCCCTGTGGTCACCAGTGGTGCCCTGAACCGCTGCCGGCGACCACCGTGCGTTTTGTCTGGAACGCACACAGGATCCACTCTGGAGCCCTCACCCAGAAAGCGCCATGTACCCTCTTAAAAAGGTGGAGGGGAGGGATGTGGATCTGTTCACCAAATCATGCGTGAGATCAGGTGAGGAAACCAACAAACATGATGGTTTCGGACAAAACCAACTCCAACAAGCTAAGCATCCCATGATTGGGTCCCAACTGCTACCAAACACTGATTCAACCCACCTTCTGCTCAATGAAACCATGTTCTTTCAATCAAGACTGGTTGGTGGTTGCAAGTCACGAACAAAAAGCATAAGTCCATAGGTTGAAACACACCAAGTAATCGCAGATTGAAAACAACAATCATTGAAGCCACCACCCAGATATAGTGGTTTCAGAATAGATGGTACTGGCACCCCAAGAGGTCTTTTATATGGGGCTCCTTCTAAACCACCGAACTTGGGGTAAATTGTGCCATCGAACCTCTCAAACCACAGTAACCAAATGTCCTTAACCTCCAGACAACTCCACTGGCTCGCTCTCCTTGCGTCATCATGTCTTCCCTGCATCCGGCTGGTGGTGCGCGCTGCGCAGCACCAAACGCGCCTCGGGAAAGGCTAAAGGTTCGGTAAAGACACGCCCTCCTGAGTTTAGAAGTCTCAGTGAGCAAAGAACGCTGAACTTCAATTGATCGTCTTCAGCAGATGTTCGTTGTGTTTTTTACAAACTCTCACTTTGAACATCACGCTCCCTATGTCTCAGTATCTCAGTCTCAGTCTCTCTCATATATATATATATATTGCGGAGTGTCCGCCCCAACCGCGGGGCGCCGAGCGGGCTCTTCTTTCCTCAAGCCGAAGGTCCCTCCGGGGTCACGACATGTCACGGGTGGACAAAATGACTGGTCTCAAATCTTCAAATTCCAAAAATGGCTCCTACGGGTACATTCTCCGCCTTCATAATAATCTTTGGATGTAGGAGCACATGAAGCTATGCAGCCATCTCATGTCCAGCTCAAATCGTCGGCAGTTCAACTCTTGAACTTCCGTGGGATCGTGCTGTCTGGGAATCGTTCAGTCGACCCCTCAGCCAACTCCGTGTAAGCCAGCAAGTAGGCAATGAGGTCCTTGATGGGTGGCGACATGTTGGCGCGGTCTTTCTGCGCCATGAGCCATCGACTGTAGTTCACCAAATCCGTCTCAGGTGAACTTGCAAGGTCTTCATAGCTGAGGTTCTGCTTAGACAGCTTTCCTGAAGTGATCAAGGTCTTACCCCAATGGTCCATCGAGGTGATGCCCTTGGGGAGAGGAATCGATCCCTGGTCCTGGGAGCTCATCTTCACGATCGGCCTCTGGGAATGCACATGTGGGGCCTGACTCGAGTCAGCGGTCAGGCGACGCTTGGACGAGTCATTCATGGCACCACTGTCCAGGCTGTATCCAGCAGAGGGCACAAACTCAAATTCACTGGTTTCGTGCTCCATCAAAGCGTTCAGCAACAGATGGACCGAACCTTCTTCCTTCACCTTAGTCAAGAGCTCCTTAGCCACTGTGGACAACTGAGCTGGAGCACCGGCCATGTCTAGGTCGGGAGGAAACTGCAAAACACAACACCCGGTCTAGTCGTGAGACGGCGTGATACGAACACTGAAACTCTGGATGCAAAATGGCCACAGACACAACCTGCTGCATTCTAAGGTCGAAGCCGGCAAAAAAGAACATTGATTCCCTTCACTGATCACAGTGACTTCCCAAACAATCAATGCGAACCCTAAACCCCAAAAATGCAGATCACTCATGATCTGTCTCTTCCCCTATCCGGCTTGGAGGCGACGGAGCGGCACAGTTTGCCTGAAGATTCTTACGAAACTCCTTTTCTTGTGCTTGATGCTTCAATACAGTTTCTTCAGGCGAGATTTGATATGAAGATCGCTTCATACAAGATCTAAGCAAGTCTATTGGATCTCCATCGTTTTTGGTGAGTGCATCAGCGAGCATTCGATTTGTGGGTACCCACCGCACAAAAGCATTCATGGCCCTACAGCTCTCTCGGATTATTACCACATCTATACTGGTTCGGCGGTCATCGATTGATGTGGGGGCAGAAGGAGAATGCAAGTGAGCGTACAGGCTCTTGCAATCTGTCACGATGATCGGTCGGCGTCTTTTCAGCACGTCTCGACAGGATCGCATTGTCAGCGGGCCGTCAAAAATCTCAGCCAACATCAAAAGTAGCCATTCAGTGGTCCCAGTGGCCGTGGCAAGTGCTTGACTCTCGGCTGACATGGTACTGCTCACTGCTCTAGGGAGTTTATAACTCTTCCATGATGCTGGACACCAGGTTGCTTCCAATCCGTCTTGCAGGGATGCGTGAGTGAATCCAATGATATATCCAGCCTGAGTATGATTTCCCCTATTAGCAAATGCTGCATCACTGTGGCATACCAGTGTCAGTTGGTCTGGGTCAATTGATTTGAACACAACTCCCAACTCACTATGCTGTTTAGCTCTTCTGATCGCCTGATTTGCCATCCGAAAGTCTTCGATCGTCGGCTTTGGAAAGGCCTGTTGGGACAGACTAGTCTGGACGCTGATGTCCGGGCGTGACTGAGATGACAACCATCCGAGACTGCCATTCACGGCACGCAGCACTTTGACTTGACTGTCGGTCAAAGGATCACCTGGTGCACTATTCTTTGGCACATTGATTGATCGCATCTTGTCGGCAAAAGCGTTCATGGCCATTCGAATTGCCCCATCTTTGGTTTGGGAGTACCAGGCACCACAAAACTCACCTGTGCTTATTCGCCATTTTCTATATGGGAATCTAGTACGAAGTTTCTTGATTGAGGCCTCGAAAACCGGTCCATGTCCACCTACTGCTGTATCATCCACGTGCACGCCCATGATCCCCACCAAGGCTCCTGCTTCATCTCGAAGCGTGAACAGGCACGGGTCTAGAACACTCTGATACCAGTTCAACCCCTTTACATACGAACTAAATTCTTTGAACCAGGACGCCGGAGCGTCGTTCTGTCCGTAGATATTTCCGAGCACTTCTATCACTGCTGATTCAGGAAGGCCGGGGATGCCACCAGGTGGTTGGCGTGCGTAGAGTGGGCGAAATGCATCGTTCAGTGGACCTGCCTCTAGGAACGCGCCTTTTATATCGCCTAACTGAAGTACCCAGCCCTTTGATGCAATCGTCTGAAACAAACACATCCGGCCTAGTTGACTTAAGGTAGGGGACTTCAACAGGCCCTGTTCGGCCTTCTGAGACAAATCCGGGTCCAAGTGTCCCTGTAGACACCATCTGCCCTTTACCGTGAATGTGGTGCTGTCATTTGGGTCCAAATCCATACCTTCTTCGAGCGGCTTTCGAGTCAACACGAATCTACTCCCTATGAAACGATGGTCTTCCTCTTTTCGAATGCGATCGGCTTTTGCTCCATAGTGGATCTTTACCGAATTAGGCTTGGACAGAATCGTTTCCCATTCCACACGTTTGCCTAGTTGGACCTTTTCCTGAATGTCGGGAGGATTGTTGCTGTGGTGCAGTTCCTTGCTCATTTTCTTTTTGAGATATTCTGCCATCAGGCAATCCCACGACACACTTTGTGCTTGGAGGAGGAAATCAACATCTTCAACACTCAACACTTCTGCCATGCGAGGCCTCGACGACACTGGTTCATCGGCGGACGGAGATGCCGGTCTTTTGTTTTGTGACATACATGCATCTTCAACAAGTTGGGGTACTATCTCTTTCATGATGTCAACAAAATCTGTTTGCTTCAAGGCAGGAGGCCGCCACAGTGCCATTGGTCCATCCTTCCCTTCGATTCGGCGGCGAATGGGACCATAGGACGACGGTGCCGCAGTTTCGGCGGAACTTGGAGTGTCAGAAGTCTCCTCTACTGGTGTCGGAGATTTCATCTCTGTCATTTCTTGATCACCCTTCACTTGCTCTTCTTGAGAGTCTTCTGGCACAGCTGAAGTGGACATCGGCTCAGGCACGAGTGGTGCATTCATTTGAGACGGCGCTACCACAGTGCTTGACTCCGGCTCGGTACGACTATCGACAGCTGGCTCGACTGGTCCTTCTTGTGGGGGATAAGATTGGGGCAACAGGTCTATATACTGTTTACTTCGGAGGTTACCACTATCAATCAAATCCTTGATACCTAACAATTCAGCTTGGGGCGATGCAAGCAGGGTTTTCTCCTCATTAGTAGCCAGACGGAGTTGCTCTGGAGCGCATCTCAGCACTTGTCGTCGATGAATGATGACGACATTGCGACCTACTCGACCGAGAACGATGGCGACTCCATACCACTGACCCCCTTGTTGGAGCTGACCCTGAACCCACTTTTGGTTTCGCCAATAGGCTACCATATCACCCGGATTGAAAGTCATTTCCACTCGGGGACGTGCCAGCAGAGCCACCCGCAGGGCTCGATCGTCTTGCATCTGAACCAATGCCGTACGAGCAGCTGTACGAATAGCTTGAGCTCTGGCAATTGATGCTTCTGTCAGGGAAGCTGTTGCTGGGATGACCTGGAGAGGTTCATTCAGCAAGTCCTGAGGAATATGCGGATTGCGACCAAACACGAATTGGTATGGTGAAAAACCATGTACCTGCAACTGTTGGTTCTTGATGTGTGCATGCACTACACATTCTAACCATTCCTCTTTGGATGATGGAGAAAATTCGTCAATCAACTTCTCTAGAACGCGGTTGAACCAGCCTCCATGAGTTTCACACTTTCCCAATTGCCAGTGGGCTCCAGCAGCAATCGGATGGATCTGGACACCGTCCAGCTCGGCAGGCACTACCATCGGATCTCCCAGGTTTGTTCTGGCAGGGTCCAAAACGATCTCTTTGGGAACACCAGCCCACGAAATCCAACTGTCGGTGAACAACTTCCTCAAAACACTTGCAGTTTCTGTTTCAAAGAAAGGAATCACCCGTTGAAAACTGCTGGCAGTATCGACAATGTTTAATGCCTTCACCTTTTGGTTAGGTAACCAACCTTTTAAGTGCTTAACATCGAGACCGACTTGACTGTTGAACTCTGTGATCCGATGAGGTTGCGCAGGCAGAGGCACCTTTGGTTTGAGCTGACTCCGGCACAAATCACACGAGAATTCCTTAGCCAAACGTATTGCTTGCTCACTGGCCTGTCCATGACGAAGAATTCTGACTAGATCGTGATTTGGTGGATGACCTAAGTTCCTATGAAGCTTATCCAAAACCGGAATCAGATCACTGTCAGAGCGGTCTCGGACCTGTCCAGCGGCTAGGATCTCTGTCCATGACGCATCGGGGACTTCTTCATTGATGACTTCTACATGAGCGATGCATTCACATGACGAGGTGGCCTTGGATCGATCTAGCTGAAACTGAGGTATCGTATTCAACACCGCTTGAACAAATTTCACGGGGTAGGCACCAGCAAATGTACTGATACGAGGAACACCAGGTGCACTTCCGGCGATCACATCATGACACTGATGCGTTCCAGTCTGGTCACATGTGAGACCCAGGCTGGACATGTCTTCATGAGAGACCAACAAACGGGTGCTCTTACGGATGTACCGGTCACTCTCAGGCAATTGAAGACCATACCTGCACATGTGAAGCTTCACTGTGTGAAAACGTCGGCAGAGTCCTTCTACCTCAGGGTAGTGCCAGGTTCTTGCCCCTGTCGGATGCTCAAACACCACCCTACATCCCAACTGTACACCTATTCGGAACAGTTTGCAACACCATCGAATAAAGCTTCGGCTCTGTGCCTTAATGCGCAACACTGTGTGAGGATCCCATTTCTGACTATTCAACCAGAACCAACCACCTTCATGAGTACACGGAGGGCACAGAATGAGCAACGACGGCGTGTCGTTGATGAGATCATCTTCCACCTTTCTCCTGTGTTGAGCCAGGCGAAAATCCCAACCGTTCTTAAGATCATACGATCGAGCTCGGAAGTGATGTTTCTCTGCTTCAAGCGAAAAACGTGGAGGTGAAAACACTTCCATCACAAGACATCGATCTTGAGGGTGTTGCTGAACGGCCAAACAAGTTTTGATTTGACTTTCCAACTGTCGACTCTCTCTCTCGGTCGGTTGCCACTCATTGGACACGGACATGGTTTCACCCAAAAATGAAAATTCGGTCCGAACATGAGCAACTCTTCGAGGAAGGCGGACGATGGTGCGATGTTGAGGGTTCCCTGGAATGATTGGGGAGTCGTCAAGAACTTGGTTGGTTTCACAATCAATCACTTTCCTACGAACCACTTGTTTCCATGCAGGCCCTGAACGAGATAACCACGGAGTTGCCATCACATCACTGTTCTCCTGAGTCCAAACAGCTAGCGGCTTCTCATCCGCCGCAGGCGATGCAGATGGCTCGAGAGTCAAAGGTGTGTCTGCTTCGGGCGCTTCCGGCGACCGGTTCGCTGGATGAGGATGAGGCTCAAGGGTCATGACTTCCGTGAAATCAGCTGCTAGAGTTTCTTTGGGGGAAAGCAAATCAACCACATACTGTCCTGCTCCATTTGTCTTGAGTGGAACAGACTGACCAAAAACATTGAGACAGTCCTTCTGAAAATCCAGTGAGGCGCCAAGGGACTTCAAGGCACTGCGGCTCACCAGAAGAGGAGCGTCACCTTTGATCACTGCAGCTCTGATCACCCCTCGGCGATTAGCCAGGATGACGGGCATCTGAACGGAATAGTGGGAGGTCTCCACATCACCATTTCCGAACTTGAACTGGTGCACCTCGGAAATCTTGGAGGGCACTGTCCAGCCACGCTGAGACCACAGCTTTTCAAAGCTCTGTAAAGTTGAAGCTCCAACAACTGTCCTACCACAGCCCGAATCCAACACACCAAATCCTGGTGAGGAAACCAGCATGACCTCGTCAGGGGTCCACTCACCAGCAGCCTTGGAAAACCGCATACGTGCTTGCTCCAACAAGGTCGGGCGATTCATGATCGCTGCAATGAAATCCAGCTCTTCCACAACTGCAGCACCTGAAGGTTGAGAAGCTCCTGATGCAGGTGGACCTTTGTCGTATCCCTTGCTGCTGCCTTTGCGAGTGTCTTTTGCTCGACACTCACGGGCCCAATGACCTCGACGGCCACAGCGGTTGCAGGTAGTGTGTCGCTTCATCTCTTCCACTTCCACACGAAATGCTCTCTTCACGTCCTTGGACTTCTGGAATTGTCTTGTCTTTTGGAGACGGTTGAGCTCTTGTCGACGCTCTTTCCATGTGGCAGCCAACACTTCTGCCACCTCAGCTTCATTGTAGGCCTCCGTGTCAGCGGCCCAATCAGCGGACGATTGATGGTCTTCCAGCAGGCGCTCCACGTCTGAAAAATCTTCTTCCCAGGCATCGTGGGGCTCGGTCGGATCGTCCATGGTCTCTTCTGCCAATGCAACGGCTGTTCGCCGTTTTCCAACAACAAGGTCGGGGTAGCATGATCGGAGAGCTGCTGCAATGGATTCCCGTTTGAGATCTCCACGGGCACGCGAAATGACCACGGCCTTCTGCTCCTCGCTGAGGTTGGCCCTGTGCAACAAAAGCCAGCCCCTGGCTTCGTCAGGAAACTGAACTCCTGTTTTCCTGTGGCATCGGTCGAACAGCTCCGATGCTCTGGCAGCCCATTGTTTCATCGTTTCCCCCTCCTGGGAGCGAAGATTGAAAACCTCGCCCAGGATTTCACCAAGCTCATCGACCACTTCCAGCTGAGGAAACCTTTTGTCCAGCAACGACCACAGGACCTGGTCGCCATCCTTCTTCTGATAGTCGCCAGGATCCAGGTGTTCAACAGCCTCCAAGGCCTTGCCAGCCAACAACGTGTATATATAGGCTCCTCGAGCAGTTTCAGGTAACTTGTCCAGGGTCAAGAGCTTGTTCTTTACCCAAGTCTTCCATCTCTTGTATTCTCTTCCATCCTCATTCTCTCCGGAGAAGCGCAAAGGGGCGGCCTCCGAGGCCGCAGCAGACATGTCACGGGTGCGGATCCTGACCGCAGGATCACCAACAAGCCATGGCTTCGGAGCCCGGGCTTTCCGGGCTCCGCTACCAATTGCGGAGTGTCCGCCCCAACCGCGGGGCGCCGAGCGGGCTCTTCTTTCCTCAAGCCGAAGGTCCCTCCGGGGTCACGACATGTCACGGGTGGACAAAATGATATAGATAAAACTGTTTATACATATATAATATATATATATAATATGTAATTAGTATACTGTAATATAGCCCCTCCACGGCAGGCTCACGCTTCGCGGTGGTTTTTTGGGCTTCGCACTCGGTGAGGGACTCGTAGACCAAGGGTCGATTGCTCTTGCCTCGGGACGACCATCGTCCCCACGGGCGCCGGATCTTGATTGGAGAGTGGAGGGGAGAAGTGCCCCCCCCCCCCACCAGTAAGAGATCTATACCCAGACACTCCATGGGACTGCCACAAAAATGCCGCCCCATTGACCCCCAAAACCACCCCAACTGATCGGCATATATGGCAGTCCCAAACAGGTCGTGTCTGGGATATGTTCAAGAGATGCATCACATGAAATATCCACTACATATTACCCACTCATTGACTAAGGTCCGCTCCGCGATGATGACATGGATGCTCTGATCTATCTATACACTACATATATATGGACATACAGAGGGGGTCTTGACAGTGATTTTATAGATATGAAATGGTGGTGACCCCCTAGGGGGTATAAAGTGAGCAGGCCCTACCCCAGATGGGTCTCTATCATTCAACCTCAGTCACCATGTGCCTGAGCAGTGACCAGAAAACACTTAAAAACAAAAAACCCACGTGACGTGAACGTTTCTTGGATACAAGCAGCTTTCCTCTATAAAATCCAACCCCCACGCCCCCCTGCGCAGGGACCATAAAACAGTTTATGGGATACCATGACCCCTGTGATTTTATAGAGGATATGTCCAGGGGGATTACAATATTATATTGCATACATAAAATTCAAAAAAACACATAAACACATTACACATACTGAGGGGGGCTTCGCGGAAGGGTCAGAACCTTCGACGAAGCCCTCCTTCGCTGAAGGTCCTGGCAGCTTCCTCTTCAGACTGAGCGATAGGCAGCTTCTTGTCTTCCCCCTTGCACATTTTGCAAAAGTTGGTGGTCTCACCGTAAATTTGTTTCTCACTCAAGTTGACTTTTCCGTGGCAGTCATGTCCTCTCGTGTTATCGACGTGAACCAGGGCTTGTCACATCAAAGAATCTGTTTCTGGGACCAGTTCCATCATTCTCGGCAGGGGGCAGACCGCAAGGCCTCTGAAGAGCCTGAATACTAGCTGTTGTAAAAACTCTTCACTGCCTGGAAGAGACCCGGTTGTCGAGGAAAATAGTCTTCCAGTCTGGTCCATGCCATCAAACCAAACGGCTGACCAGGCTGACCATGGCCGCAAAAGTTCAGCCTTCTAAATGGATTAACTGTTGCATGCATTGGAGGGAAGTCAACATTGAGATCAGCCCAAAAACGGGGTTCAACCCACCTGGGCTGCCCAGCCATAGCCGGAGGAGCGACAGCAGCAGGTCGTGAGCAAACCCAGGAAGGATAAAACACTCACGGCCAACCTTGGAGAAGCCATCTTCGTCACGTGAAGAAACCGTCCAAAGATTGGACCAATGGCCAACAGATCGTGGGTGATGGATACTCGGACCCCTCGTTCGATCGGGAAACACCTGGTGACAGGTGCCCAGGCTATTAGTCTAAAACCATCTAAAACCAAAGCTTGGAAGGTCCTGGTCGGTCATGAAGATCGAGTCTGGAATCTTCGTGGTGAGAGTTCTTCAAAGGAAGATCCGCATCCACGGCTTGGAAGAAGTATGCGTGTGAGATGTTTGGATCCGGAGACAACCAAAATGCGTTTGGTGTTTGTTTCCCTCCTTGAAGAAGGGCTCAAACTGGGAGGTCTTCCTATATGTTACCACACAACCATATAGCAGTACCCCTCCAACAGGTCTTGTATTGAAAGTCGCCGGGTCCGGTCTTTCCTCCACCTGTTTCTTAAGCGCGGTCCGACAGGACATCATCGCAATGTCCTGTCGCCGAGGTCCGGCGTCCTTTTCGCCATGTTGGCATGCGACCCAAAGCCAAACACCATCTGTTCACTGACACTTGTGCGATACATGATCAACGACACCTGTGCGATTGAAGAACAAAGCTCCGCCGGGTCCCCCTTTCGCCGCGTTCGGTCCGAACTCCAGCTCCCGGGTAGAACATAGGTGGCCATATGTGGGTGGTCCTCACCAAGAATCTCCACATCTCTGTCAACCACCAAATCAATCCCCACTCATAATGTACTGGAAGCCGTTTCACTATCTATTTGGGGATCACTATACATCCTCTTCCCAAAACGCTCTCCAGTCTGACCCTCATCCAGGTTTTGTGTCGTTTTACACACCTTATAATGTATCATTCACAAGCTTGCGATTTTGCAGGATCATCACTCGGCAGTCCCAAAGATCTAATATGTATTATATCACTGTAGTTGGCTCGCTGTAGTTTGCAAAACAACACTCTCAAGCATGTGCGTATGTGCATACGTACGTTCATGTCAGGAACTGTGTGAGACCTCCTTGTATTTCGGCTATTATGCAAACTGACACAGAACACAACCGCAAGTCAACCTGCCAACATACACAACAAGCTTCACCGAAACAGGGGAGCAGAGTCACGGAGACTTGCTGCCTACTCAGTACTCCATCGCCAGGCTTCAGTGAGACCAAGCACAAAGACTCTGTATGTCCCAGGCTTTTGCTCGCCAACCACATCAGTTGGAGCCTCGTCAGTGTGACCAGTGATGTCTGTACTTGGGAATAGACCGGCTGATGCCAGGTAACATAGACCTCATATTATTGGCTATTGGTTTTTGAAAACCAGGAGTATCCCCTGCTATTAATCAACCAACCAATCGAGAAAAACCATCTATGGTCCGGCGCAAAGTCTCAACGATCGCGCGGCCAACGCGCGCGCGGTGGGAGCCCTGAGCCCTCAAAGCCAGGCGTTCTCCAAGCGGGTTTCCCCCAACCCACGTGGAAAGCTCCTGTATGAGGTCCATGACTTTGTAGACCTGATGTGGCGCCTTCTCTGGTCGATAGTCCTCCATGACTTCGAAGACCTGCACGAGAAGTTGAACAGCGGACGCCGATTTTCGTGGTTCAAGACACGAATAAGATAGACCAAGAAACAAACCCAATTCCCCCTGGGCCCTCATCGACAAGATGGGAAGATTCACCTGTTCCGATCGACTTTTGCAAAAGCTTTTGCGTTTCGACGTAAGGCAATATACACAGTACTACAGATGCAATACAATATACAGAAAACAATACTAAAGGGAACTTGTTGTGAACCTAAACGGAACAAACACAGTACTACAGAGGTCTTCGTTGACCGGCGAGTGTCTAAATAAGTGACGGGTGAACAGCAAAATACCTTGGGCCCTTGGGCCTGGTGCTCACCACTCACCTCTTGATGCTTTCCCCGTTCAAGTGGCACGATGTTTCGGGCCACAGAACCCAAACAATATATGACTCTAAGGCAATATATACCTGGAACCCAATTGACCCCTGTTTTGATAGAGGTCATTCAGGTTCTAGGTATAGTATATAATATACGCAACCCCCTCCACAGAGCAGCCAATGCATGTGCAAAGACTGAGTACCTTTCCAGCGACCCTCCGAATGAGATCCCTGTGGCTGAGGTCCTGAAGTCACGTCTGTCAATATATCATCAGCACGGACATTGGGGATTGTGCCATCTACTCTCTTTGGCATTGCTTTGCAAAGAGCTTGTATTGTACAAGTTGAAACTCTTGAAACGAGCTTGTACAAGTTGAAACGAACAAACCACTTGCTACTCTTTTCACCCACCCGAGTCCCGAACCTTCTTCTCTTTGAAGTACAAGGCAGCTGCTCCAGCGCCCTCGGAAGGGTGTATACTTGTCTGTATATATATATATACACGATAATGATAAGGTATACGGCATTTGTTGGGGGCAATTCTGAATAAACAGTGACACTGTGATTTCTCAAACTCGGGTTATAAGTTATAAGTTGTAAGTCCTCGGGTACAACCCAGCACCTTGTGTTTTGTGGTCCAATGACATTCAGGTACAAAACCATTACAAAGTGAGGAAGAGACGGTCAAACCCAGTTGTTAAGGGGCTGTTGAGATAGGCCTAATTGGCTGTACCTTGCAACATGTGTGAATGCGCAAACGTCTGCAAACTCTCTATTTCTCCCCCTCTCTCTCTCTCTTTTTGTCTCCAGCTGCGACTTTGGCCATAGAAGCTTTCTTGCTCTGCCCCCTCCACTGTCACATGTCCAAGCACGGCTTGGCCAAGGGCTTCGATATCACCAGAGTACTCTGGTCTAAGTATTTGGAAACCACGTCAAATTCTTGGGCTTGCTTGAAGGCACACGTTAAAAATCATCAAAACATTGTCCTCTTGATCCATTCTTTCGTGTTAACCACTAAGGCCCCGGTTCGAAAACAAGCTTGCCAGGTGTCGGAAAGAAGGGCACCTCTGTATAAAGCTAGTTTAACTCACTCAGCTGTCTGAATGCTGATAATTGAGTCGGTCTTCTGATGAGTTGTTCCTGTGCTGCTTCCAATCAAAGCATACCCCACAATCATGGTGTAGCAAAGAGAACAGAACTGTCATGTATCATGTTTGCATCATGTTTGCCTATGTTAGGTGGACACGACATCACCCCTCCCCAAAAATTCAATAGGTCCCATATGCCATAGGAGCAATGGACAAGATCTGGATATATGGACCAATCGGGGCTGCGGCTGCGAAATGGAAACAGCAGCCAACCAGGTTGGTCTTCAAAACCATGGTGCTGTGTTTCCTCTATCAACCTTTCCAATACCTAGTTTTGAGCACCTTTCACAAGGGAAAAGCAAAAGCTAGAGCAACTCAATAAGAAGCACTATCTTTTACAAAGTTGTGTTTCAATGGCTAGATTCCGCGGAATAGGGCCCTTAGGGGACAGCAAACTCAAACAATATCAAACAATACGTTTACAAACATTATGCAACTCGGGCCTTTTGTTATTTGGGGGCACCAACGCATCTGTCTGAAACAGTGTTGTTACATTGTTGGTTTGTTTGTTTATGTTTGTTTGGCGTATGCTGCATAGAGCTGTCGTTTGACAGTCGATTCTATTATAGTATATATAGTTTATCTTGATTTTCTGTTTTGGTCCCCGCTCCTTCGGGGTCTAGCAAATGAGAATGAAGCAGGAGCAGAACTAGATCCTTGCACAAGCCGCGTAATTCTTTGTACCAATACCACGTAATACCTCCAATAGATCATTGCTCCATGACTCTATTAATGTTGATCTTATTTGACAAAGTGTGATCTAATTAGACCCTTGTCGACTACACACATGCTTGAAATTGCGCCCAAACTTCATCCTTTTCTCAATGGTTTCCGCTGGACAAGCTGACAAGGATCTTCAACCTCAATTATTAAACCCAGCCTTCCCCTTGTGTTTAAAATATAAACATGTTTGGTAGTGAAACCTCCCACTAATCATCTTCTAATCCCTCCTGCGTTGCACACATAGTTTCCTTCGCATGTTTCTCCTGCTAAAACAACAAGTATCATCCTTAGTGGGATTCAGTCTATTCCTCTTCCATAAGTGTATGTTTTTGTGCAAAGGATTCTCATTGCTCTACTCTCACACACACGTTCCATTAATTAAGTTGCAGTAATTGTGCTGAAATCAACCACCGTGCTGGCGCTAGCTTCCACACCCTTGTTGATATGGTTTCCACTGCGTGGGTGACTTTGTCTCACCCAGCTAGTGATTGATAACACTGAGTCTGAATCATATAGTCTTGTCCAGCAGCCATATCGTGGTGCCTATCCTGGAGGGGCCCCAAAGATCTTTCCGATCTGCAAATAGATGCTATATGAAGTCAGCAAGGTCATTGGCATTGTCCACTGGTCTCGCGGCAGAGACCTCCGCTTCGTTCAGCGGTTCCAAGTACAAGTTCTGCATGACACGCAACATGTCCGCCTCCTCAAAGTTCCTTAGAGCGCAACAGTGCGAACGTGATCACGCAGACCCTCCAAATGATTGTAGAAGATGGGACATGACCCCATCATACAGAAAACCACGACTGCATTTGGCTGTCCATGTCCTTTGCTAAAGGTTTAACCATTTAACCTTTAGTGGTTTAGAAAAAACAAATATATACATATTAAACAAAAGGACTGTTTGCGACTAAGAGCACGCCGTTTCGGAGAGCCAATTGGACCCATTTCCGACGTACCAACTGAGATTCTTCCGTCCCAAAGGCAAGTGCGTCCAAGGGCGCGCGGTGGGAACTGGGTGGGAACGGTGGGAATTGGTTTATATTTGGTTTATATCTTTGCGGGGCCTGGTGCCTTTTCGGCAACCCAAAAAATTGTCGAGGTGATACATTTGAGTTGTCGGATGTTGTCATTTTCAACAACCCAAAGATTTCCCCTGCTGATGGCTGAATAGAGTCAACCACCCGAAACAACCATCACACCAAAACCGGTCAAGTGTCCTGCTTTGAGGTAAGCACATGGGTCATGCTGCAAACAGTCACTGGACAAAAACCTTCACCACTAAGAACCTGAACAAATTATTTTACTTCGAGGGATCCCCACCCTGAGAGGCAATTTGGAAGAAGGCAGGGACAAACTATTTGGACAAACGCGGCCTGACATGTGGATTGCCACAATGTTTTGACGCGTGTTCTGGCATGACTTCGGTTCTGACATGTGTTTTGCCATGTATATCGACACTTGTTCGGCAATCAACAGACGTGTTTAAAATGAATTGCAAGTGTAATTGTTGGCATACAATCTGGCATTCTATCTGGAATATATATTCTGAATTATGACAAGCTATCTGGCATATAGTGTGGCATTATGTCTGGCAGATATTTTCACGTTCTATCTGGCATATATTGTGGCATTCTATCTGGCACGCATTTTGGCATTCTACCACGCATATGTTCTGACATTCTGTTTGGCAAATATCTGGGCATCCTATCTTATCATAATCTGAGAAACAATTCAATATTTAAAGCAGTGTGTGGAAGTTTTTGTTCTATTGTGGCTCTGAGCTGGGTCTCTAGCGTCTTCCCTGGCAGGTCGCTTCGCTGCCCCTGTTGACTCAACACATCGCGCGCTGGGTAGGCAACAGGAAAGATTCAGCGTCGGCGACGTTGGGCGGCGCGCTCACCTCCGCCCCTTATAGCGGACATCATGCATGCCCAGCATAATGCCACCCCTGTTCTTGGGGTGCACCAAAACCTGCTGTGGCTGCAACACACAAAAGTACATCATCTTGTGCGTCTTCAATTGCTGGCATACCTTCTCCAACCTCAAACAGACACCAATGTCGTTCTGGCCCATGAGCTCCTCCAAATCTTTCGTGACATGGCCTTCCATGGCTCAGGTAACAGAAAAGTCTAAAGGGCGGTTGCACCAGAAGAATTATACGTTTTGCTGAATCCATTTGGCAGGTTTGACAGCCCGAAAAGCGCAACGTTTGGCCATACGATAAGAACAGAGCTCAAGTCTGTTGGACTTGTGCCTCCCCGCCGGACCTCAACCGCGAGTCAGAAGATATGCCAGATAGAACGCCAGGAAGAATGTCAGAAAACATATCAAAAGATATGCAGAAGATATGCCAGGTAGAATGTCAGAAAAGAAAGAATGTCAAGAGATATGCCGGAAAGAATGTCAAATAAGATATCCCAGGTAGAATGCCAGAATGAATGTCAGAAGAGATCTAAGAGAATATGCGAGATAGACTGCCAGAATGCATACCAAATAGAATGCCGCAAATATGTGCAAGACAGAATGCCCCTATATGTTTCAATATGTTTCGAGTTACCCTTGAAAAGTGAAACAAATTACCTTACTTCGAGTGATCCCCACCATGACATTTCAATCTGACAATTTTTCTGGCATGTATTGCAACATTATTTCGCCATTGTCTCTGGCATATTTTCTGACATTATGTCTGCCATGTTTCTGGCATATCTTCTGACATTATTTCGACATTCTATGTGGCAAATGTTCTGGCATGGGCCCTGGCATATATTCTGACATTC